TTCAAGTTCAAGTTTAGTTCAATTTTGAACTGAACTTGAACTTGGCCAAAAGTTTAGTTCAGTTCAGTTCATAGAAACACTACTCAGAATTAAGTTGAGCAAATTATGTTGTGAAAGTTAAAATAAAAAAAATAAAAAAAAAAAGAGCTTCTGCTATCACTTTTCTTTTGTCAGAAACAAGTTGAAAATTAAAAGTAAAGGTGGTATTTTTGTATAATATGCCTGCTGGTACTTGAAGAAACCATCACTTTAATATATCTTTTTTTTTTTTTTTATCAAAGTTCAATCAACTCTCAAACATATTCAAATTTTTTTTATCAAAGTTTAATCAACTTTCCAAAAGTTAATCTACCTCTATAATTTTTGATATCAAATACAGTATAAAAATTGAAACCACCACAAAAAAAGAATAAAAAATTACCTGCAGCCTAATTAAATGCTTTATTATTATGTAATTAAATAAAAAAAGGTCACCAAATCTATAAAGTAAAGAAAGTACAACTGTGTATAAGGATATGAAAAACCTGGTCCGGTCTCAACTCAACTCCAAAGTCAAGTCTTTGTTAAAGTTTGGTTCCAAATCAGATCTGAGCATAAAAAAATATACAAATTCATATTTTTTAAATATATTAGTTGTAAGTCGAAGCCTCAAGTTTAACTTGGGATCTAACTTTAACGAAAACTTGACTTCTAAAGTCAAGTCAGGACCAGATTAGACTTTTCATATCCTTAACTGTATATAAAAAAGAAATTTAGAAAATACGCATCTGGCCATTTATTTCTAAACCAGAATTTTGTATAGTTGGAGATATGGTATTACAGAGCATGTTTCGAAAACATGTCTGTTCAAAAAGTCTATGTATATGACAAAAAATTTTAAAACATGTTTATAAAGCATGTATTTTAAATTAGAAAAATCAGAAGCATGCCCAGTAGGCACGCTTAAAAAATTTTTTTGTGCCCAACTTGGCTGACTTATCATTGCCTTTTTAGATTTTAGACCCAAAAATAAGCTACTCTCTTTGTTAAATTTAAAGTTTCTGTAAAAAATTTTTAATTCTGAAAATATGCTACCTCTTATTTTTTTGTATTCAAAATTGGTTAAAAAAGGGTAGCTTATTTTTAAAAGAATACTTTAATAAAAATTTTTTTAATTATTAAAAAATTAATTTTTAATATTAATTTTATATAATTGGTTAAAATCAATAAACTAGAATTAAATAATAAGTTAGCATTATAAAAAAAAAATAATTTAAATAACAAAGTAGAAATAGCAATAAATAAAAATATTTAATAACATAATAGTTAAATAACTAACTTTAACTACAAGTATTATCCTTGGTCAAAGTATAGTTACAAAATATATAAACAAACTTAACTTTTTAAAAATAACTAAAATCATTTTAGTTTGATCTCCGGAGGCAATTTGGTATAAACCTCTCTGGATTATGAGGTAATTAACTCTATTCAGTATAGCAAACCACTTCAGAATACTTATGAGATAGTAGGTGTGCAACAGTCTATAAACAGGGTTACCACTAATTGCAGATTTTTTATTAAAACAATGCATATATATCAATCTGATTAAAACAAAAATTAGATTTATTGAAATAAAACATTAATTAAATAAAATTCTATTTTTTTTAAATTGAACCTCAAGACTAGCTTTACACTAAAATAGAGCTATTTTTTTATAAAAAATATTTAAAACACTAATGATTAGTGTTCTGATTATTAATATTTTACTTTTTTTAACAATAAAGATTAAAAAAAATAGCTTTATTTCAGTGTAAAGCTTGTCTAAAGCTTCAAATTAAAAAAAATTACATATTGTTTGATTAATTGTTTGTTTCAATAAAAATATAATTTTATCTTGGTAAAATTTATAGTGATAATCATATGGGTCCGATTTACAATATCAATTGCATTAGGGCCTTCCAACATAAAATTACCTGTTTACATTCGAATCTCGATACTCAGAATCCGAAAATAAAATCCCGATAGTATCAAAAATTGCTTTCGGATTTTGAACGCTAGGGATTTTGAGCATCGGGATCGGGTTTCTGAGGTAAAGCCAAAATTACCATTAGAAAATCCGCAATTAGTGATGATCATTAGTAACCCTGCCTATATGATATTAATATGCCGTTGCACACCCTAATGAGATAGCCAGAAGATATCAGATTTAAATATTAAGCTTAACGTTATATATTCTAAATATATATAATAATCTTAATTTAAAATCACCAGCAAGGTTGCCAAAGATTAAAAAAAAAAATTAATAAAAATCGTGCTATCTTTAAAAGTGGTTTGATAGTTTAAATTTTGAAATATAAAGTATATCAAATACTGAATATAAAGCACTATATAACAATATCCATAATGATTAAAAAAAATAAATTATAAGCATATTTATAGTAATTTTTTAGAAAAATTTGCCTAAAAAAAACCTAGATTAAGGGATAATTAAAAAATTTTGGTAATAATAATATCCTGATCCGTTGGGAATTAGCGGAAACTCCGTTTCCGCTTATTCACATACGATCAGGGTATTATTAATTAATCCTCCCGTGATCTTGATATAGTGATCGGGGGATTAATATAATTATATTTACATTATATAAAATCAACTAATTAACTTATTCTAAAATAAAATACTAAAGCAATATCATGGTTTATATGGTACCGCCAAGAATAAATCACACCTTGAGCTTTTAAATTTACAATTTTACCGGAATCAATATATCTAACCTTTTAGAAACTGTCCAGTGAAATTGTAAATTTAAAAAACCGAAGCGTGATTCCCTTGGCAACTTTAGCATAGAGTTTAGTAGTAAAAAATTCATTTAAAAATTTATTTATACCCAGCTTGCGAATTAGATCTTAAAGATGCAAAAGAAACAGGAAGCCATCATGAAGTTGAATCCTATTATTCTAATGCAGCACCTCAATCCTTGAATTAAGTTGTTTAATGGCCTACATCAATTTGAACATTATAATATTTTTTTCGTTTGTCATATTTGTTTTGAACTGTTTATTTTAAACTATCTGTCATAATACAGTCAGATCTCCCTAAATGCATGGTCTATGAAAATTTCTATAAATGCACGGCTCTACTTACCTCCCTAAATTCAATCTTCTCCAAATGCAGAATTGTTTAGAGATTTGGTTATAGATTAAAATATCTGTCGTTTATCAACACACGACATTTCAATATGTATTTCAGCATATCCAATATCCTAGATTGAGTATGTTAAAAAATAATGAATGACAATAAATAAAATTGTAAAGATCATAAAGAACAAAAAACATAATATGCGTGTAATCAATTTATTGAAGGAATGAAAGATCCCACAGCAAAAGGTGATAGGCCTATTTATTAGATAAATCCATTATTTTTTTTCTGCGGGTTCATATAAAGAGGTCAAAGCCTTGGAAAACATATAACCGAAACTTCATCAGATTTCTGTTCAATATCTTCAAATTCAAAACACCCTCACTGTAAATAAAGGGTTTCGATTTTCCGTTTTTTTTTTTTTTGCAAATAATCCTCACAATCATGCGTCACTTAGATTTCATCATTTGAAGTTTCATTACAATTTTAACCCTGCGATCGTGAAGTTGAATGTCCATTGAAAAACCATTCCGATTGCAAACTATTGGAGATCATGAAGGAGTGGAACGTTATTATTTACGCTCCCTTCAGTGTCCTTATCGTTGTCGACATGTGGTTGTATCAATGGGCAATTCCAACAAAACAAGCAGGATGATAAATTGTTACGCAAGTATTTCGCATTACATATCGTGTTTATCAACCAATCAAATCATGAATTTGAATTTCGAAAAGATAAAACAGTATCATATAAGCAACAATATCGTTGAAAATGCATTCATTTACCAACATAGCTCGGCCTTTTTCAGAATTTCGCCATTTGTTAAAGTTTCAGAGGCTTCACCTCTCACCTGATGCCTTTAGCAGGGGTTTCACCGGTTCGTTGAAGGGCTCTATTTTCCGTCCTTCACCAGCTCTAGGTCTCGCCTTTCGTCATTTACATAAAACCACGCCAGTCCAAAATGATATGGATGAATATAATAAAATTCTCAACACTCAGCGTGCTGCCAGACCTGTCTCTCCTCATCTTACTATTTATCAACCTCAAATAACGTGGTTTATGTCTGGTTTTCACAGAATTACCGGGGGTGCTTTGGCAGCTGGTAAGAATTTTATAATTACCTTGTACGATATAAAATTGCATAATTCTATTCTAATTCACTCCTCTTAAGTTCTTTATGGAAGTGCTATAGCATATGCTATCCAAGGTCCATTAGGATTAGGATTGAATTCTGATGCGCTTGTCGCTGGAATAGCCACACTTCCAACTTCCCTTAAATTTGCTGGAAAATTCGCTTTAGCTTTTCCATTTACTTTTCATGCTTTTAACGGTGTTAGACATTTGGTACGTTTCATTATTCGCATTATTAATAAATATATTGAAATACTTACGTTTGATTATTTATTTTACCGGAAGATCTGGGATATTGGAAGTGCGTTAACACTCAAAGGTGTTTATACTACAGGTTATACAGTATTAGGACTCTCTGCCATTTCCAGCCTTGGATTGTGTATGGTTTAAATTACTTTTGCGATATTAAAGGTTTTATACTGATAATGTTTACCAGTTTTAAAATAAGATTGGGACAGTGAAAAATTTTATTATCAGTCCTTATACAGGGGTTTCTATTTCTGTTTCTTATAAATCAAATAAGTCGATACACTAAATTTTATATGTAAATTTATACAAAAAAGTTATTAAATTTAAGAGAAATATATGAGAATTTTTATTTGTACACTGTGTATATATATATGTATATTTTTTTTTTAGTTAAGGTGCCTTTCTTGGGCGCAGGATCTTTATTAGAGTTTTGAATACTGCGGCACACACTTTGCAGAATCTTTTATGTAAAATATTTTTAATATTTGAATATTATATATATAATATAGAGAATACCCGGTGGGTATATACCCGGCATATAAGAAAAAATTAAAAAATCGACAATATCTCAAAATTTTATTAAGAAAATCATATGTAGGTATCTTAAGTAAAATTGTTCAGCACTCAATTTTGCATATAAATACTAATCTATTTTAACTTACCCTAACCCAATATATGGTGAGAACATAGTATACTCTGGTAAGTTTAGGTCATAGATAAAATTGTCTAAGTCTGTATTCTTAAGATAGATATGTAACCATATAAGGCAAATATTTGATAAATATCTAATAAAAGATATGAGGCAAGACTTTACCTTAATACTAAAAAAAAAGATAATGTAAAGACAATAAAAGAAGATTTAATAGTAAAATTATATACAAAATTTTTTTGTTAATATACAAAGAATAGTTTTATAGCAGAATTTTTAGATTACAGTCAATTTTTTAAAAAAGACAATATTTTGTTTCAATTTTATATTATACCTGATCTTGCATCCTAATTGGTCAATCAGAGGTAGCAATATATTGCTATAGCAATAAATTATAATATCTTTTTTTAAAAATTTAAAAAAGCTTATAAGTTAAAAAATAAATAAAAAAATTAAATTTTATTCTGAAGCAATACCTAGGTTTACAGCTAGTAATAAATAAAAAAAATTAAAAATTAAAATAAAATTATCTCTTAAACTATAAGCTTTTCCAGACAAATTTGTTTAGAAAATTATCATAAATATATTTATAATCTATATATTTTAATTTTTAAAATCTTTAAATAAAATTTTTTTTGATAATATTTGAAAATAAGAATTATATTATAGTAGTATTTAATTTTATATTATAAGAA